AGTCTGGTTCTAAGAACTCGATGTTTTAGATCCTGGTTTACTCTTCCTTGCAAACATATTCCCCCTTATCTTCACATTTTTTTGAGATTTTTTGGGATAGAGTACTTCAACTCATAAGTCTTTCCACAACTGCTCAAGTGGATTTATGTGTGGAGTCCATTTTAACAGATAAATACTTTTGATGTACACTATAAACCTGCATATTCTTCTTCTATTTTTGTTTAATTCTGATAAAACTTCAGTAGGACTCTGACTGACTTCGGTTCATGAAAAGCCGGAATCATTTTTGCACATCCCTGAACTAAAGTACATTTGCATTAATGTTGTGATGTTTGTTTTTTTTTTTTTTTTTTTTGCACTTACAACGCTGGTGGACTTCGTGATGTCATTTCTCTCCCACGCAGAACAAACATGCTGAAGGCTACTCCTGTGTGGGCTGGTTGTGTGCGTGTGTGTTTGTGTGTGGGAGGTGTTAAAGGGACCTCAGTGGGTGGCGTTGCATAAGAACGTCAGCGCTGAAATAAGGTTTCATAAAGAATAAAAGGGGGGGATCACTAATGTGTTCTCTGCTGTCACGCCTACAAGCCTGTTTTCTCTCTCTGCATCAGGACTGAACCCGCCACATGCCTGACGAACAATGGCAGGGTGAAAACACAGGACTCCACCTAGTCAGCGTCAGGTCGGAGAGACAAACCAAACAAGAGGGAAACAAAGACAGAAAGGACTTCGTCCGTCACCCCACAGATGCCTCTTTGGGGCTTGGTCTGTTGCCACGCCCCACTATGAAACAAACATAGCAGGCCTCTCCGTTCTGCCATATCCCAAAAAGTAGCAGCTTTACCTCGATTGCCTTACAAGCAAATATTGGTGACATGTCTGGGTTCAAAACCAAGACAAGTTTGTATGTTGTGTATCCTCCGTTGATCTATGGGTTCCTTCCAACCTTCACTCAATAACCACTATCACCCTCAGCTGTGTGTGTGTGTGTGTGTGTGTGTGTGTGTGTGTGTGTGTGTGCATGGTTCTTTCATCTATGTGTCTCTGTGATGGACTGGTAACCAGTAACCAGCCACTTTCCCGTCGACCAAGATGGGAACCAGGAGACCCTGAAAACTAGGAGCCAGGCTGGAATGGGTGGATCATGTCGACTGGTTTTATTCTTTCTGTTCAGTTGTCCTTGTTTCTTGTTTTTGATGTGATTTCTCACTATCTGGACTCATTGCATCACTCATTAATTCAGTTTCATCTGCACACCATTTGTTTGGTCATTTTCACACATACACTGTGTCAGAAAATTACTTACTTTCACAATCCGTAGCCTTGTTGTGTTTGTGGTTGGTTCTTGTGTGCTTCCTTTAACGTTGTGCTGCAGGTTTTCTTTGTTTACGTCTGTATTTCAGGCCTTTCTCTTCATGCAGTTTTTTCTGCTTGAGGATTACAAATTAATCACCGGCAAGACAATCAGACTTTTTCTTTGTTTGGCTTCTCTATTCTGCACCATGCATGTTTGCACCACTTCACTGTGTCTGTACTACGTATTAAGTGCTGACCACAGCAAAGATGAAGGTTAACACTGCCAAAGCCACCTGACTTAATGAAATTTGACAAGGTGGTGTATAATCAATTTCACACAAAGCATTTTCCCCCTCTAAACAATAACAGCTTTGTCTTGTGTTCCCAGTCCTCTTTACGTTATATGTAACCTGTGCCTCAACTCGAAAATCAAGTAAATTTTGACAGTATAGAGTCTTTTTAAAGGCACTTTTAACTTTTTTCTATTCTGAACAACTTCACAAACTTGCCTTAATTTTACAGGGATTTTATGTGATGAACCAACACAGAGAAGTGGTTAAAACATTGCAAATGCCTGCAATGCTTTAAAAAAAAATAAATGGCTGAACACGGGCGTCTGGATTTCTGTTCAACTCCCAGAGAAAAGCCACACATGCGAGGAGAAAATATGCAACCTCTGCGCAGAAAGACCCCAGGCTGGGATTGGAACCAAAGACCTTCTGGCTGTAAGACGGCAGTGCTGCCAACTGTGCCACTGTGTAATTTTATCTCTGTATAAATACATACGGCTGTTCTGTGGAGGCTTGCGAGGTTCATTACAGGACATTTGTCAAGAAACAGAACATTAGTCATGAAGAGCAAGAGACACAGCTTAGGAATAAAACTGTGGAGTGATGTGCCGCATAACATAACAAGTAACAAGCGTAACATAGTTGCTTGATTCTGCTATAAAATGCCACTATATGCCTGGAAAATAGATAATGTTCCCCCTTTAGCTTCTTACGGGGTATTGTTCCAAAGCCTGAAAATAAAAAAAGATCATGCACAACTGCCACGCCACACCTCCCGATAAACGGACATCCGTCTAAACTAAAAGCCAGAAAGCAAGGAACATTGATCAGAGAAGCCTCGAAAAGGCTCAAGGTCATTTCCGTGGTGCAGTGGAAGAAGGCTTTTTGATCAGATGAGATCAAAATTAATGGGTTTGGCTAACAAGCTAAGTGGTACATATGGCAGAAGTCAACTTCTTATCACCTTGAGCACAAAATCTTAGTCATGAAACATGGAGGTGCTATTTAGCGCCTTGCTATGCAAAAACTCAGCTATATGCAGTAATGTAATAAAAAAAAATCATTAAAACAGCATTATGTAATAATCAACACAAACGGTGAAATGAAATGAAATCCTTGAACATTTTTTGCTGCATATGTAATAACATTGTTAAAGTTTGTGCCAATTATTAAATACAGAAGCAGATTTTATGACATTATTACACATTGCGGCACTGTTACACAATGTGGCGTTAGCATCATGCAGTGGGGTTTCTCCTTTCTCTTCGGCAGGACAGGGAAGCTGATCGCAGTTAATTGGAGAACATATGGAGTTGAATACACAGCAGTCCAGGGGAAGAAATGGTAAGAGGCTGGAAAATAAAACATAGCTTAAGGGCAGAGGTTCCAGCCCTAAAGGTTGCATCGTCATTTGTTGCTACGGCTCATTAAAAAGCAGTTACTGTATTTTTCGGACTATAAGCCACTGCTTTTTCCCCACGTTTTGAACCATGCGGCTTATAGCCTGGTGCGGCTTTTCTGTGCATAGCTATAGTATGAAAATGTAACATTTCTGAGGAAAATGCTGAAATTTCAAGTCAAATAATCATTGCCACTAAAGCAGAATCTCTGACTCTCCTAAATGCTTGCTCATTGCACATCCCGCCACTTATTCACTGAAGAAGAAGAAAAATCCTTCAGTACTGGAGTTGGTGCTCCGGGCGAGGCTGCGTGCCAACTTCTTTTGGGATGATTTCAGCCTCCGTGTCTGTTTGTTTCCCACAAAGCCAGCCATCTTGTTGTGTTAGTGATGCGAAACCAAGCAGCAACACAACAAAATACATCTGGAAAGTCAAACAAGGTAAGAGGAGGTCAGGACCAGAAAGCTGCACCATAATCTGAAAACTTCTGATTTAGTTTAAATTACTTCAACTCCACTGCACTGCACCATGGTACGGTCAAGCCGTATTGCGTTCGTGGACTGAGCTGAATAGGTAATAGTTTTAAGTGCATGCTTTCACAAGAATGTTGAATGTTGGTTTGGGAAAAAAAAAAAAAATCTGACAGCTTCCTTTCTTTGTGGTGCTGTGGACCTTTACAGTAGCTGCATTTCAGTCCTGATTTATAGTCCATCCCTCACGCGTTTTTCTCCCTCGGGCTGATGGCGGTCCGCGGGTAGGCCCATAAAACATCCATCCCATCTTGTGATATAGCGCCTGCTGCGCTGTCAGCCATCACCAAGGATTACTGGCACTGTTCAGGGTTTTCTGGCGCCAGGCTGCAGCCAAACGTGGAAGGGAGAAAATATAAGCTACCTAGCGTCTCTGGCAGGTCATGTCATCCCATGTCTCTGAAATATGATCGGCAGGCTCGTCCCACTCGAGGAAGCACAGCCAGAATTAATTTGGAAACAGAATTACATCTCACTGTAACTCAACAAGAGGAATAGCTCTCAAAATTGATTTTTTATTTTTTTTTCACCTCACTCTATGACGCCGAACTGTTTGATTAAATAACTAAAAACAAGCTCAAAATGTAATGTGACTTAATGTCCTGGCGGTTATATTTTTAAATATGGGTCAGGTAACAGATTTCAGTGCTCTGGGAAAGTGATACGTATGTGGAAAATCAAATATAGAACAGATGGCCACCTTCTGTTTACAGTATCCAAACCAGAGCCAAACCAGGGATGGTTTCCAGATTTTATGAAAAAAAAAATAAAAATAAAAGCAGTAGTTAAGCTTGCTTTGTCCTGCATGTTGCTTCTTTTTGAGCAGTGTTATCACATCTGAGTCGTTTGGGATTTATTTTTGTTCGGATCGTTGGAAAAACTCCAGAGTTTATCTGTGTTTTGAATAGTTCAACTGAAAAAAAATATCTATTTATTTTACCCAGGGAAGAAGTTTGTACATAAATAAAACCACAAAGCTTTAAAAATAATCAAAATAGACATGCCTTCATTGCAGTCAACATGCAAAAAAAAAAAAAATCTCAGAAAGCCTAAAGCGAAACTCTGACAACCTCATTCTATTTAGTGTCAGCTTTTAGAACCAATCAGTCTAAAACAGATGCACATTCATATATTTTGTCAATGTGCAAAATCATGTTTAAAAAATCTTAAATCTACTCCAAATATCTACCGTTTTAGCCTAAATGTTCATTGATTATTTTTTTTTTATTTTTTTTTAAGATTGCTCCCTGAAGAGCTACTTCTGTGGTTATTGTAATTGTTTGGTCTCTTTTATCCAGAGGCCATTGTTGCCAAGTCTGAACTCTAAGCTGTCCTGTCACATTGTTTTTGAAAGAAAACTCTTTATTTCAAGATCTAATGCAGTCATCCTTAATATTTGTTATGCTAACTGAGGCATAACAAATATTGTTGAGCTAGTCACATTTGTCTCTTAGCCCGTCTTAGTTAAGTTCAGCGAAAATCCACCACAAGAAAGAATGTTTTGTCTCAATCTGTCTGAAATTGTCCCTCTTTTATACATTGTCTACAGCAGACTTTGTTGCACGACAGACTTCAGATTGCTTGGAGATAGGTTTAGAAGTTTTTCTAAAATTGGCAGTAGCAAAATCCCCCTTCTGCAACTACTGCTGTGTCATTCCTTGCTGGCTTTGAGTCAACACACACCTGAATGCTCCCAAGAAGCTTCCTAAAGTTGTCACAGAAATGGTCAAAATCCCAGAAGAATGGTCAGTCAATATCTCTATGTAGCTTTGATAATTCCCTTAATTGTTTAATGAATTTTACAGAACATATATGATAGATGATTTTCACATCTTGTGTGGAGAAGTTATCAGAGCGCACACGTCTGATGATCCTCCTGGCTCGCTCATCTGGACACACGCGTGGAATTAATTAGAAATCGTTTTGATTTAGAACATTTCTTCTCTGCTGCAGACGTCAGCAGCTTTGCCAGCCAGCTGAGACGGATGGGATGAACGTGAAGGGATGGTGAGTAAATGGAGGATGAGGAGAGTAAATGGCAGAGAAATAAAGGTAGGAAATGAAAAGGGTAGCGACGACATGACTGAGAGATCCAGAAAGACACGGCCGGATGGAGAAAGGCGTGTTCTGCTGAACGAGACGTCGTGAGAGATGAGATAAAACAGATAACATGAGCGGACATCGAGGGAGCAATAAGGAGGAGAGGAGCCTTAACAGCGAATGACTTTAACGTAAAGCACAGCCGGACTGTGATTAGCAGAAATGAGACACTGTGCTAAAATATATGTACTGTGGATAATAATCTATAGGAGTCATGCAGAAGTATTCACAACCCATGAACCAAACTTAAATTAATTGTTCAAAGTTGTGAAAAGGGGGAAGAAAAGGAAGCACGGCTTAACATTTTTACACATTAAAATTCAAAAGTGAAGCATGCATATCTACTGACAAAATGCAGTGTTTGTTGCTTGTTTCATATTTGATTATTTTGCTGTGATGTTATTATGCAAAACCCTTTGAACTGCTTCGTTACTGAACTATGCAATACAAACAAACTTGAACTGACAAAAGAAAGTTCGAATATCCACTAGTGCTATTTCCAAAGATAAATGTGTAATAGTGGATATTAAGTCTACATTTTTACAAGTGATCATTGATAAGTTTCTCAGCCAAACAAACTCCACATTAATTTGACAACAAGCTCAATGAATCCACTCAATATGCTGAACTTGAGTCTGCAGAGGTAATTTATGAAAAACTACCATCTTTGACACATTTGCTCGAAATAAAAAAAAGATGACTCCTCCCTTGCTGTTCTGAAGCTTTAGTCTCAACAAGACAGATTGGGACACTTAATCTCATTCAATATAGCTTTACATAGCAACATGGACAAATGACATTGTTTCCCACAGGTGCAAACACTTTCAGCTTATGTTATTTAAATAGATAAATTGAGTTAAAATGCACTGCGTCAACTCCACAGCAAAATTTACAATAATGGACCAGCAGCAGAATTACCAACTACTTTTATTGTAAATGCATTGTAATAAATAATTTACTGAATGATATTGGTGCATTTTTCCAATTTACAAAATGTCTGAACATCATGTAGTGATGGCCTAAAACCTCGAAGCAACTTTAAAGCACTTGTGTTGCTCTCATTTCTTTCCTGCGTTTGCAAGTGTTGCGTTTTCTAGAAGCAGACAGTTTACAGTGTGATTCAGTTGGAAAAGAAAAAAAAAAAGTTAATTTGTCCTGTTGTGTTTGTGTGGGAGGCTTCGGTTTTCTTCACTCTCAGTAAAATGAAAGTCTAAAACTCCCTAATAATTAATGACAATACCTGCTTCAAACCCGGACTCCTAAATGCATACTTTAAACCAAAACAAACAAAAAAATAAAAACTATGCTGTCCCCACTGAGTTTTTATAACACACACAAACAAACACACCCACACAGTCTTCAAAAAGGAGTAAATAAATGTGAGGGTCCTCAGAGGGCAAACAGGTATGTGTAGGCTGACAGCTGAAAGCGCAGTGGTGTAACATCATGTGACAGGTTGCAGAGAAAGAGACGACGATGCGCCTGCTCAGAGCCCAGCAGGAAGGCATTCTTTAATGAAGCCAATAGACTCAGGGGAGAAGCTGCTATTAGCATATCGCTACAGGGGTCTCTGGTACAGGTAGTTAACAAAAAGAGTAAAGAAATGAAAAAAAAAGAGAAAATCTGAAGCCAATATAAGTGGGAAGTTACTTAGAAATCATAGCAATATTCCAGCTGGAGCTTCACGGCCATCACAGGGATTATGGATTATCTGTTAGAATCTTCCATGGCAACAGCAGCATTAGCAGTCACTCATGAGCTCTCAAAGTGCGCAGTTAAATAATTTCGCACACAATGTGGCCGCTTTCCACAGCGCCCTCCGCTGTTGTTGCCCGTGAGAAAATTTAAGAGTGCAAAACACTGTTATCACAGCACAGATGAAAATATACGCTGTTGTGCATTACAGCAATGAGGCACGTGGTCGCTCCTCCCGCCCTGCAATTGCAGCCCCAGTGGTATTCATGGTAGCTTGACAGCCTTGCACAATAGGCACACAGTAATGGCTGGGTACACTCTGACACATAGCATGAACACACAAAATAGCAACGTATACTGACGTTACTCAGACCACAGGCTTTCAGTGAACCACAATATAAAGATCATCATTTAGACTCTGCCTTTCCCCTCCACAGGAAGCTGCAAGCACTGATTATATGCTGTTTGTCTGTGAATTATGTGCCTTTGTGGATGAGAACGGAGAAGTTGTTGCACATGAAAATCCCGAGGTTAGCAAGGTAAAAACAGTTTAATTCTATAAAAACACTTTTTTTACAAATTGGGATTATGGCGTATGATATTTACAGATTAAAAAGGGTGGGGGAGAAATGAAAAAGACCTGTTAAACATAACATATTAACTTTGTTTTACTCATAAAATAAACAACAAACAGGAAGGTGAGGAAAACTTTGGACATCCTGACCTAATCCTCCTTTTAGCCATTTCTATAAAATCAGTTTGAGGAAAGTAAAGTTTGTCCACCTCCTCGCTTTCAGCTGTGACGTGTGTGAGCCGTTTCATGCATGTTTCAAGTTTCATCACAGCATCTCAGTAAGATCAGGTTCTGGACATTCACCCAGTCCAGGACTTTCCATTTCTGAATTCTTATCCTTGATGGATTTACTTGGGTGCTTTGGGTCATTCTCATGACCCAAAACGACGACTCAGGACACAGACTTACATTTTTTGACACAACTTGTGGTGCACTTTGATGAATTATCCATCTGCTGCAAAGCTTTCCCACTTCATGACATTCCCAGGTTCTTTTCCTGGAATGGACCACTTACTTTATGGCAATCATCTCCTCTATTGTAGTGTCCAAAATTTTCATTGTTAGACTCATCTGTCAAAAGAGCATTAATCAAGATTTCCTGGTGATTGTTTCCATTCTCTCTGTTTTCCCTCCTTACACACCTTCCAAGCATTTTCAGGACAGTGGCAAGATTCTGCTGTAGATCCTATAGAGACAAGTTAGGATTTTTGGAGAATTAGCATTTGAATTCTCATTTTGCTTGGGTGGCCAAACCTGAGCTTGTTGGACATCAGATTTTATAGCTGAGATTGAAAACTTCCTTCAAAATCCTGAGTAGTTTTATTCTGGTCACATACACCCGAAAAGAAAGGCGCGTGTGTGATTTTAGCCAACTTAAGTGATGATAAATGTGGGAGAGAGTTCATGTTTTCCGCAGTGTCAGTTGTAGTTTTTGTTACATTTTTGAGAAAATCTCAAAAAGGTATTTTCTCCAGTTTTTATTGATTCCTTATATTACTTTCATTCCTCTGTATTTTTAAAATTGTTATTACATGTCCATATGTCGGGTTAGAAAAATACAGAAGCTTTCATATTTTAAAAAAGAAAAAGATATTTTTTAAAAAAAGAAAAAGACTTCATATTGCGTTGTCCATCTAAGATAACCAGCTTGATTTGTGGCTCAGTCTAAGTAAAGGGTTTGCTCGTGGAGAAAAGGATTGAAATGCAACTATTTCTGTTCATGCAATAGATCTTTAACAATAAATCAACAGAAGAATAGGACATGTCTTAAACTTAAGATAAACAATTTCTTCACTTTGTGTCATATTGCTGATAGATTGATGCTTTGAGAAAACTTCTGAGGTGTTGACACATTCAAATTCAAAGGTGCCACAGTGGCGGCTCTTTAATGCTGTCTGCATCATTTTGTTAATGTATTTACTAGTCAACTGAGAAAAGGTGTATAAAGAAATGCAAAATGAGCGATAAGATACGAAGGTTTTTACGCGAGTGGACGGCATTAAGGTTTTAAAATAAACAAAGTGGTAAAGTTAAATTACATGCAGGTCCCTAAACACAGATGTTATCTATGACTAGCTTGCAGATACTACGCAGATCCATTTGTTTTAATTAGGTTTGAACACCTCAGGCTCTCACTCACAAAGGGACATTGATTTTCAGTAAATATTGAGTCACAAGGCTTGACTCTGATTATGCAAATCTTGGTTATAAATTAGGGTATTTTCCACTGGCTTTGGGCATTAGATACATTTACAAAGTCACAGAAAGTGGAGCAAAATACAGATCACAGCAGATCCTTCACTTTGGAGAAGAAGGGCTTTAAATCAATGGAGTAGATTTGGCTTGACTTATACATACTGAGAAAACCTGGCCAAGATTTTTCACAGAGTTTAAAATTATTGTTATTGTATCTATACTAGATCACCCCGGTTAGCTTTGTTTCAAGGTTTTTTTTTTTTTTTTTAGTAGCTTCACATTTACCATTTACATTTTTTTTAACTAACTTCACATAATTATTTCCTTGTAATGATCCTGTTTTGAATAAAAACGCAAATATTTAATTCGGAACATAAATATTTAGTTCAAAATACAAAAGTAAGTAATTGGTGAAACTATGACTTTTCTTTTTTCAAATGAATGCTACAATAATACTTGCAAAATGTGAGAATCCTCTAAAGCCACACTGAGGTTTCGAAATGTGACTATACAACATTTTACTCTCTTATTCCCAGTTTTCCCTTCACCCTTATCTGTCTTCCCACTAACAGCACGTTTGTCCATGCACGAGGACTGAAATAGATGGTGAACCAGCCAAACTATACAAACAGGACATCTGATGCAGCGAGCTAAGAATAAG